CGTAGGCGCCGGCCGCCGTGCGCGTGTTGCGCCCGCCGCGGAACGAGCGCAGCTTGTCGTTGATCCAGCCCGACACGCCGCCGCCCGGCGCCGACTGCGGGCTTCCGTACAGGGACGGCTCGGACCTGCGGAACGGATTGAAGGATGCGATCGCCGGTGGTGGAAGCTATGGGGGGAAGGACGATGAATGCGACGTCAGCTATATGCAATCCGTCTAGTTTGGATGCGCCATGGCTGAACAGGCCCCGGCCCCCGTTGCACGACGAGTGGCGGTTACAAGACGCAGCTCCAAGGCCTGTAAACCCCACGGCCACACCTCGAGCTATGTGCGACGACGGACGGGGGTTGCGCGAAAAAAAAAAGGCACGGGAACCTACACCCAGCTTTTGAGCGCGCCAGCGGACGTAGAGAAGCCACCCCACTCCGCCGATTATCACGAGCGCCACCAGGACGATGAAGAAGATGCCGACGGGATGCATCGTGGCGGCGGCGGCTGCGGGGGCTTTTCGTCGTCGTCGTCGTCGTCGTCGTCGTCGTCGAGCCTCGTTGCTTGGAGGGAGGGGGGAGCTTTGATGATGCCGTCAGCGCTCGCTTGCAGCGGGGTCCTTGGGAAATGCAAGGCAGCAGGAGTGGAAGCGAGCTGGCGCGGCGACCGCGCAAGGGCCCGTCAACTCTGGCGATCTGGCGCAATTGGTCGTCGCGAGGCGCTGCGTTGGGGGGTCAGGGGACGGCGATGGACGGTGTTGACAACCGCTGTCGATCAAGCACAGGCAGGTGTATTGAGGGTGGATTTTTATTGCATCTTTTTGTATCTTTTTTTTTGTTGCTGGTTGGAGGTTGCTGTTTGGGGGTGGTGACAGGGATGCGGGCAGCCGCGCCTCGTCGGGCTGTTGGGACTTGGGGTTTGTGCTCACTGTGCGACGTTTTTTACATGGCAGCACCAGCCCCCAATATTGGTACCAGCGCGACGGGGCCTGCAGCGGGCAGCACAGCTCCTGCGGGGCTCTCCACTCCTTACTGTGCTGCCAAGGCCTGGGGATTTCCATCTTCCTCTTGATGCCCAGGACATGTTCACAGCATGCCACAATCTGACCTCATAAAATGCCAGTCAATTTCAACCTCAACGAACCCAACGCCCTTCAACGCTTAATCAGCACCCAGTATTCATTTCATCCGAGACTCAAAGTTTGCGTCTGCCCGCCTCGGCGGCGCCAATGATCCACGCAACATCCGTCATGACCAAATCTTGTTGTGAGGGAAAAAAAACCTTCTTGTGCTCAGCCACGTCTATACATAGATCTATATCCCGTAGTAAAAAATCAAACAAAGCACTTGTCCCAGTGCCCTCCGCCACGCGCAAAGCTCAGGCTCTCGACGAACCTGCCCAGCTCGCAGCGGCCCAGCTCGTCGGCGCCGCAGTTCTGTAGCGGTATGACCCTGTCGTTGACCAGGATTCTCACCAGCTCCGCCCCGCCGCCGCCGCCGCCGCCGCCGCCGCACCTCATCTTCTCGACGTACATGCGCGCCGAGAAGGGCACGGTCCAGCTGGCCGAGTAGCCCGCCAGGTCGGCCGGCTCGCGGCGGCCCGAGGCGGGCGGCGGCGCCGCGGCGGTGGCGTTGTAGAGGCCGAGGGCGCCGTAGACGCCCGTCATGTCGTTGTCGTGGCTGAAGTCGGCGTACAGGGCCCGGTCGAGCGGGAACGTGGCCGGGTCCGAGTCGAGCGTGCGGTTGGTGCTGGTGCGGTCCGACACGGCCGCTCCCGTCAGGCGCGCCAGCAGCTCGTTTGTGAAGCCGACGCCCTGCGTGGGGCCCAGCGGGCTCCCCGGCCCGTAGCTGTAGTATTTGCCCAGCGTCATCAGGTAGTCGTACGACCGCCACTCCTCCCTGCTAAAGAGGCCGCAGAACTCGGACAGCCGGCCGTCGGTGCGCGCGACCGACTCGAACGGGCAGAGCTCCATCAGCTGCACGACCTCGTCTAGGGTTATGTTGGCGCCCGGCATGCCCTTGTTGAGGCGATCCCTGATGGGCCCACCGAACGAGGCCAGGAACTCGGCCTGCACCTTGGCGCCGCCCTTGGACCGCTCAAAGGCGGTGCAGAGACCGTGGTCGAGCGTGTTGTTGGACCCTTCCGTCTCCGGGATCACGACCTTGGGGTAGGGGAACCCGTCGTCCTCGGCCCGCACACCGTCGTCGACGCGGGCCTGGTGGAAGCCCTCGGCCCACTTGTCCCCCGACTCGACGACGCGGTCCTGGCCCGAGGCGCGGATGAAGGGCGTGGCATCCCGGGCGAGGGCACGGTAACGCTCGTAGAAGCGGACACCCGAGTTCCGCATCTGCTCGCGGCCGAACTCTGTGAGCTGGTCCGCCCCGAGCGCGTACCGGTAGTCTTTTACGAAGCCGAAGCCGTCGCCGTACTGCCCGACGTCGCGCTGTATGCGGGTCACGGTGTCGTTGTAGGCCCGGCTCTTGCCGCCCGTGGGGTCCCTGGCGCCGTGCCGGGACAGGACCTGGGCGAAGGTGATCTCGCACCCCGCCGGGAGGCCAGCGTCCATCTCGGACGGCACAGTGAAGAAGGGCGAGTACTGCCCCCAAGACTGGGCGATGTCGGTGTGGCACTGGAAGCCGAGGGTGGGCGAGTCGCACGAGCTGTCCCCCGCGGCGGCGCCGTAGCCGAAGCCGCTGTGGCAAGCGTGCGAGGTTAGCAGGGTGCTACCGCCATTTACGCTGGGCCCGTTCGGCTATGGGGGACTTACAAAAAGGCAACGGCAGTTATGAGGGCAGTCATGATGCACGCTCCTGTCAGGGCGATGCCGAACTTGCGTCTGCTTTTGTGCGTCTGTAGGGCGCGCTTGGCTGCAGGATCGCTCGTGGTCCGTTCCAGCTCATCTTCGTCGTCCCACGACGTCGGGAGCGCGCCGTATTTGTACCGCCGGCGGAGAAGATCGCGAAGCCGATCCATCTTTCGGAGGCGAGGGTGGGCGAGCAGATTAAAAAGGGGGTTGTTATGCGAGTGGCACTGGAAGGGGGGGCAGCGTCGCAGCGCTTGGGCGAGCCGATGCGCAGACGACGGGATGAACCTCAAAAAGAAACTTTCAATCTTTCCCAGGAGAAACGGGGCACCTCATGAAGAGGGGGGCCTTTGACCGCTTCCCGCCTTTCGCGATGTCCCTGTTCGATATCGCCTCTTCTAACCGTGGCGGGAGTCAGGAGCAGGGTCTCGGCCACGGCCAGTCGGGGCCAACTCTCGTGAACGAATAATCTCAATCGAATACGTTGGCTTGAGCGCCAGCTCCAAGCACATGCTAACCCGTGCCCGCAACGATTCGGGCACGCCGGCTGGGAGCGAGTCGACGGCACCCGAACCGGACGGAGCCCTGACAGGAGCGGTGGGAACGCGACAGAGGCAGTGCACCCAGCACTCACCTGTGTGCATCAAATAGAATGGTAGCCCCAGCCCATTGAGGCTTGCGCTGGCTGCATCTGGCCAACGCTAATGCGTGACGTGGGGCCGTTTTATGATTGGAGAGCCAGTCACAGGTCACAGGTAGCGGTGCAACCACCAAAAACGGCGCCCTGCCTGCCGGATCTTCACGTTTTGTTTCAAGCCCAAGGGCCCACCGCCTGCTGCACCGGCACTGACTGGACGGCCCGGGTTGCTTGGCCCGCCTCCGCCTCAAGAAGGGATTAAAAGAGGGCTCCCCTGTTCCAAGAAAGTCCAGGCGCCAAGCAGCACCGAGGTGCTCAATGTGACGCAAAATCCCCCGTCTCGCAACAATCAGGTCAAATCATCGCCAGAGTCACATTGCACAGAGGTGCCGACGTCGAAATTGCGTTCGTTGCCAAAAATATCAAACATGTTCCGCCCCCAGAACCCCCAAAGAGATGGTGGGAGTCCTGGGCGCCAACTAAAATTACTAGTCTTAGCCGCCGTTGAGGGTATCTAACAAAGTAAACCAAGACACCAAAGCTAGGGTATAATCCAATACTTCCAAGGCATCAATCACAGCCGCCCACTTTTTCCGGGTCCCCAGGGCACGCAGCAGGTGTGCAACCATCGAATGCAAGCATTCGTCACCTCCCGCTCTCAGCCCTGTTTCTATAGATTTGTTTTTCCAGCCAGGGATAACCCGTCGAGTGCAACAACTCCCCCCGCCCATCTGCCCTGGACTCAGTCCAACGGGCACGAGGGCGCCTGCTTCATCGTTCCCCTGCGAGAAGGATGGGGAATCGAGGCACACCACGACATTACCGCGCCTTGCATGGGCTTGCCCGATGCATGTATGAGGCGGATGTGAAGAACATGAGTTGTAGTATAAAGTTTTTTTTCTTTCTTTTTTTTTTTTTTTGTTATTGTTGTGCTTTCATGGCGGCATGCCGATCAAAAGGCAACGCCCACGCTCTGCGGTCGGTGCTGCTGCCTTGACTCGTAGCTGTAGGTCCGGCCAAAGGTGGGCATGCGGTTCAGCCGGGGTGTCCCCGTGGGCGTCGACACCTGGGTCTCCTTTGCCGAAGGGCTGTCGGTGATGGACATGGTCGTCGGTTGCGTTCGCTCCTCCGTCTGCGTGTCCCACGAGCACGACGTCGAGATGGTCTCGAAGCTCGTGCGGCGGGCCGGCGCGATGCACGTGTAGAAGCCATCCCTGTCCGTCACCGGCAGGGGGGCGTTGGTCACCGAGTCGAAGCTCATGCCGCGCTCGTGCTGCGCCGGGCCATCTGCGGGGAAGAGCCAGTTCGAGACCCGCGAGAACGACCTCTTCTTCCTGAGAGGTGGTCGCAGCACGAGAGGAAGTGGCGGCGCCAGCTGCCTCTCCGGCATCGTCTCGGTCGGCGGGATGACGTAGCGCGGCTGCATCGGCACCTGCGGAACATAGAATACATCAGGCACCTCGTAGATGGGACTCTCGATGCCAAACCCCTGCGAAAAGGTCTTGGGCGGAGCCGTTCGAGGCCGCTCGGTGCCGAGTTGCTCGATGCTGAGCCGCTCGAAAAAGGATGGCCGCCCTGCAGCAGGCAGCGCGGGTATTTCAGGCATGGGCTCGAGGTCTGCATATGTGTCAGCGTCAACGAGTCGGTGTTGCCGCTGGGGTGAGCGAAGCTTACCTTGCATGTCATAGGCAGTTGACGGGCGGCTACCCATGTAGACGCTTTGCCGCTCCACGATGGACTCGATCTCGGCCTGTAATCTGTCCCGCTCCATCATGGCGCTGGCGACCCGTTCAACCATTCTATCAACCTGCTCCAGCGATGAGCCCGCCCGCCTACGAGATCTCGGAGGTATCCTCGGGGGAGTCTCCGGGTCCTCAGAGTCCCGCGTGGAGGACGAGGCGGCCTGCTGAGGTACTGGCCTTCGTTGAAGGTGGAATGACAAGGAGGAAAGACTCCTCTGATGACCCAGAGTTGATCCGTTGGAATCGAAGCTGCTGCTGTGCACGTGAGCAGGCGCAGGGGGAGAGACGTTGCCTTGGCCCGAGACGAGGTGCGGGAGGATGGGCGACAGGTTGTCGTCGACATATATGCTGAGCTCAAGTGGACGGAACGAGCGGGGACGGCGGCCCGGCCGGGCAGGGGCAGCCGGCGGGAGCTGGAATGACTCGGAATGGATGTGGCGGAAGTTGGATGGGGCTGATATTTTGGGTCTGCGCGATGACGACGACCCATGTGACCAGAACCTCTTGGTCACTGAGAAGCTCCGCCTCCTCCTGCCTTGGCCCCTGCGGGTAGAAGCCGGTCGCTGCTCCGGGAACGCCTCATCCCTTGCTGCTGTGCCCGTCGAGGGGCCAAACGTGGGTGGTGGGGTGATGCTCGGCTGGTGGCGATAGACGAGGAACTCATCCTTCTCCATGACTGCTTGGAGGCTTAGCACTTGACTTTTCGCTTTCTCACAGAATCTGCGATCCGTCGCCGGATCATAGCACAACTCACGTTGACGGGATGGGTTCTTGTTGCGGCGGTTAAGACAGGGACTGATGGTCGCATAACAAGATGATAGAGAGTCGAGCCAGGCGTTGTAGGCTTCTGCAAGGGCTCCTCTGAAGACAGTCATAATACCGACAGTCTCACCTCATGCCTGTGGCCAGAGATCGGCCACTGCGGGAGAAATGCGAGAAAGAAAGAGAGATCGGCGACCAGCGGCGGAGGGTTCGATTAGGAATGATGGTGAGAGGGCGAGGAGGACGGCTGAGCGTAAAATCATCGAAGACAAGATCAAACCGTCAAGAAAAAAAAAGACAAACGCAAAAACGAGAGCAACAGACGAGACTTTGTCTGGACGTCGGGATAAAACCAGGGCAGGCCTGGGAAAGGGCGACTGGCCGTTTCTTTGTCCTCGTGTCAGGGGAAAGGATATCTTTATCCCATCTTGTCATTTCCCGCGGGCCTCGCCCGGGCCGGCCGAATCTGGGAGCCTGACACTTGACAGACAAGACGGACGCGCGCCAGCTGATGGCGGGCAGGGAGAGCGAGGAAGGGGGTGTGGTGGGTGTGTGTGGGCGGCGCGCAGCGGGCTGTAGCGTGTGTGTGTATGCGTGTGTGCGTGTGGGAGCGTGTGGGAGCGTGTGAGAGCGAGTGTGTGTGAGGGCCGGGTATGCCGCTGAGACTTGCAGAGGCGTGGGAAAGGGCGCGGGAGAGGTGAGGTCGCAGAGGCGCGGATTTGATAGGCCAGCGGCGGCTTGACGTGAACCAGTCGGCGCTTACAGGGCCGGGGTGCGGTGACGATTCGGATGGCTGGCGCTACACACCAGGTTGGGGGACCCACCACTGTAAGATCAGAGTGTAAGATGAACTCCGCCGAAGAGCGAGTCGATGTCTTAGAATTCCTTGGTCACTAGGCCGCCGTCGTCCACTGCCCCAAGAGGGGGGTCTCGTGGGCCGTCGAGATTGGCCCGTCCATTCGCGCAGCTGGATCTCTTGACTCTGGAATGACGGAGCCTGGAGACAGGACAAGACGCGCCTTGCCCCGTTTGAACAATGTGTCCACCCGCGACGGGCAAGAAAAAACATCAACACGGCCACTGAAGATGCGGAAAAGGGGGGTTGGGGCGGGGTCGGGGAGGCAAAGCAGCGAGCGCGATGGCGAATTCGCCAGCAACACGAGCAAGGACAAAGAATTCGAGCCGCACACAAAAGAAGAAGAAAAAGAGGAGAAAGAAAACAAACAAACAAACAAACAACCCTAATCCAGCGTCGGACAGACCCGCCCCTATCGTATTTGGAAGGCTGCAGCGGCTTTCTAGTGAAACGGGCGTTTGGGGTCATCGACAACGGCCGAATGAGAAACTGCCGCAAATCGCGCCCATGGGCCAAAAGTTTGGCGGCCGAGATCTTCCGCCGCTGCTTCTGTTCAGGCTCGGCTGGCGGGGGCCACAGGAATGGAGGCCTGCAGCAAGCACCTGACACATTCCAGACGACGCGCCGGATCCCTCACACGCCATTAAACCTGCATTCCGCCGCTCCCTTTGCCTCCGGCCCCCCTTCCCCCTCCCTCCTTCCTGCCCCGTCTTCGATTTCGGAGGCGGTGGCTGGCGTTCGTGTTAGCGTCTGCCTCTGCTCTGGACGCCGGCAGCCTGCCGACAGCGCCCCTCTCGTCGTTTTCGTGAACAAAGGTCCGACTTCAAGACGCCCGCCCGCCCGTGGAACCAGCACTCGTCGCGCGAGGACAGGAAACGGCAAGCTAACGGCAAGCTGCCGCACCGTCGCTCCAAGCTCTGCCGCTTCCTTGTTTTGTTTGGTGGAAACCGAAAGCAGGCAAGGGAGTGGTCGGCGCTGAGATGCATCATGTCGGGTTGTGATAGCGGGGTTTTTTTTCGTCGGGCACGTGCGGAGCAGCGGAGGCCGCCGTGGTGAAAGGCCCCAATAGGCTCTCGGAAGCTCTCCTGAGTGGCAGGCAGTGACGAATTTGGACCCATCTAGCATCACCGTCTTGGGGACATGATGCATGCAGATTCCATAGCTTTTCCTGAACCAGCCAGGCTAGCAACGTAGCCTACCCACATACCCACCTACTCAGCACCAACTGCGCTCGCAGAAAAATCGTATTTGTAACGGCAGTGAGGCCACGGAAGCCTCTGCGCCCAACCGAACAATGCGCGACGCTTGCGACTCGGCTGAGCATTGAGCTGAGTGGCGAGGAACTGCAGTCTTGGGAGCAATTTAGTCCGTCCCGCAGCGCCGCATTCCTAGGGGCTACATGTACGAGCCATGTCGCTTTGTATGGAGCCCGTGACTGGTAACGTAACGTGCGTGAGCTTGCCTACCTCGATATGCCCTTATTTTCGCGTGTCTTTGCCTGGGATGGAAAGAAGATTGCGCATCCTACACGCTACTTGCTGTGCTCGCCGGTTCCTCCCGTCTCAGTCATGAAGGCTACTCCGTTCCTCAGCTGAGCAGGAGGATCGCTCAGCTAACGTTTGTGAAGGAAACAAAATGCCTTTTTCGTGGCTTGCCTCGTTCCAACCCTCCATCGTCGAGGCTTGCGCTTGTCGGCATCGTTGCGCCAGATTGGATAGTGCAATCACTGCAATGTTGGAGCTAGGAATTCTATACTTAGCACGCCGCCGTCAGCGGCACGACCAAAACGGAAATGGAGTGAAACAGCTGCCGTTTTTCGCGGCGTGGTTTCAGACCGCCCGTGCGCTGATGTGACCGCACCGCCACATGTGGGCGCCCCACGAGCCGCCGGCAGTCGAACCGAACAAGCTTAGCCACCGTGTCTCGTTTGGGCCCGATGTGAACAGCTTGCTCTACGAACTGGCCTTTCTGACATTTTTTTTTTTTAGAGGCCTTTGTCTGACAGCAACTGAACGAATGCACACCTGTCAACTCCTCCTCTCCGACATCACACCAAACTCGTATCGACTACATTCTACTCAAGCAGACCCTCCTCGCCACTTCCCAACAGCCTCGACGACTTCCGTGCTACCCAGCCATGGCCGAGCAACCCCCGCCGGGCATGCTGCCCCCAGGCATGCAGATGCCGTCCCCCGAACAGATTGCTGCCATGCAGCGCCAGATTGCCATTGATGCACAAAGGGCTGGGATGACGGTTCCGGAGTTCATCGAGCACATCAAGAAGCAACAGATGGAGAGGATGAGGCAAATGCAGCAGCAGCAGCAGCAGGGCCATGGCCACGATCATGATCACGACCACGATCACGACCATGACCACGATCACGGACACGATCATGACCACGATCAGGACCACGGCCACAGCCATTCGCATGGCCCTCCCCAGCAGGGCCAGCCCCAGCCCATCCAGCCGGGCCCTCCCAACCCTGTAGCGCTTGCGCTGGCGTCCTTCTTGCGCGGCCAAGACCTTAAGCCGCGGACCTGCATCCTGAACGGCGAGCGCAAGGACATGTTCCGAGGTATGCAACCCGCTCTCGAGCCGCCCTCTATCTCGCCACGAGAACGCGCTTGCGCCAGTCCTGCCACATAGAGTCCAGATGCTAACCCCGCACCCCTCCCCTCGCCTGCAGTCAAGCGCGCCCTCCGCGCGATACAGTCGCCGTCTTATGAGAAGGCGCGGGCCAAGAACCCCGCGCTGCCCGAGGTGACGGACCGGGCATCGCTCGAGAACTGCTTCAAGCTGCTGCCGCTGTCGATGCTGGCGCTGCGCGTGCAAAAGGCGGATGAGCACGAGGGCCACGACCACGCGCCCAAGAAGGGCAAGCGCGTCAAGGGCCTCTGGACCGTCCGCATCGAGCCCCAGCAGGAGGCCGGAGACGACATGTACTACGTTTGGCTCTGGGAGGGCAGCCAGCTCATGCGCAAGGTCTACGCCGCCATCGCCCTCGTTGTCATCTTTGCCATCGTGCTGTACCCACTCTGGCCCCTGGTTATGCGCCAGGGCGTCTACTACCTTAGCTGGGGGTTCCTGATGCTGCTGGGTCTCTTCTTCCTCATGGCCATCTTCCGCGTCATCCTCTTCTGCATCACCTACTTTGTTGTTTCCCCCGGTCTCTGGCTGTTCCCCAACCTCTGGGAGGACGTCAGCTTCGTTGATAGCTTCAAGCCGGTCTGGGCTTGGCACGAGGTAGGCTTCCCCCATCCGATGCTCGGGACATGCTCACTGTGCAACTTGCTAACGCCGAACCCTTCTCTCATGTTCAGGCCCCCAAGAAGAAGAAGAAGTCCAAGTCCAGCGCAACGCCCTCGTTAAAGGCCCAGGCCGCCTTCGCTAACTCCACCGGACAGCCGCTGCCTGCCACGGCCACCACCACCGCGACTGAGACGCAGGTTGCGACTAGCCCCGTGGAGAGGCGCAGCGGCTATGTTGCCCCTAGCGTGGACGAGCTGGAGGACGAGTGATTTTGCGTTTTCTCTTTAGTTTGCTTCGCCCCTCGTGCTCGCCATGCGCTTTCAAGGGAGTTTTGGTCGTCCACGGTAACGGTCCTGGCGTCACCTCTGGTTTCGGGAAAAGATGTGTGCTTTTTGGGGACGCTACTCGTCCTGCCATCAGCGAATACGCGCACCACCTTCAAGCGGCTCGCATCAATTCTCGGGTGCTATCTGCACTTGACAGCGTAGATAACTAGAGGGTACGGGATGACTGACTGTACAAAAATGTTTATCGATTATTTAATCAAAAATGGGACAGATTGGGTTCATGCGTCCTGACCACTATCAACACCCCTGTACCACCCTCCCTCGTTCTCGTGACTATTGTTCTACCAAGCCGGCCGGTACGTCGGTTTGGAGTGACGTGGCTATGCATTCGAAGAGGTAGGCCGCTTTTTGGGCCGCTTGGTGGTCACGGGTTCCTGCATAAGCCGGATCGCCACCTCGAGGGTGCAAAAGAACAAAAAAAGACCTGAGAGGCTCCTTCATGGTATCAGTACCGGCCCCCTAAGCAGCCCTTTGCTGTAAGAGGGTTGGTGCGGATTGAGTTTAAATTCACGGGGCGAGGCCAGACTGTCGGCATTCACCATGATAAGCCATCGCGAGCTTCGGGGACTCGAGTGCTGTCCCCCCTCCTCCTGTCACGAATATATCGTTGATACATCTACATGTATTGCCAGGGCGGCAACTATCTTGGGGGATGGGAGAAATAAGGGTTCGAGACCAGAAACAGTAAGAAAAGAAAATCCTCTGCATCACACAGGCGTCAATTCGACGCCGACGTGAAACACAACAGGGTCGCGCCTAGGTTGGCTTTCGCTGCCAAACCATCCTTTTCGAGCAAACACCAACACCAGCTTTTCTGTTTTTCGTTCTTGTAGTGCCGAGGAACGCTTTGGTTTCGCGGGGAGCGGGAGGCTTTGTCGATAAGAAGAAAATCGAGGGAAGAAAATAAGAAGATACGGGAGAAAAAAAGAAAAAAAGACAAGGTTCGAATGAAAAAAAAAGGCAGACCCCAAGCATACGCCGCGCGCCGCTCGTGAAAGCGGATATCGTTGTGATCTACCTTGTCGCCTCTACCCACACCGTTTTCTTCATTTTATTTTTTCGTATGTACGTACTTTCCCCACCGTCTTTCTCGGTTCTCTTTAGTCGCCAAGCTCCAGGTACAGGATCGTCTGGTCCCTCTTCTTCATGTCAGCTGGGCTGAGGGAGTAGTTTGGCACGCGGCCGACCTCGGTGTAGCCGAGCTTCTTGAAAAGCGCCTCGCCGGCGCTGCCGGATTGCGCCTCGGCGGTCTGAGAGTTTTTTTTTGTTCATCATGTCAGCAATTTTCACCACGATTGCGTGTCTTTTTATTGTTGTGCTTCTCAGAGAGAGAGAGAGAGAGAGAGAGAGAGAGAGAGAGAGAGAGAGAGAGAGAGACGACGACACGACGACGACG